TTGGTGTTCACTGGTCTGCATGTGGAAATCTGACCTCCCCCACCCCACTTTACCCCTTCCTTTTCAGGAGAGACTCTACTCTATCCCATTGTGTCTTTTTGGCACCTTGTCAGAAATCATGTGACCTGAATGCAAGGGCTTATTTCCTTGTTCTTTGTTACATAAGTCTGTATGTCTTTATGCTGTAGTGGTTAATAAGTTTTACAGATTTATTCATAATTTTTAGAAGTCCTTTTGTCTACTTTAAATAATTTTATTTTCTATTTAACTGCTCCCTTCATTACTTTTATTGTTCCTTATTTATGAAAGGTGCTTAAGTATAGAAACTTATCCAAAGCATTTCTTTTTAAGATTTTCCAATAATGTTTGGAGGTAAGAAGATTGTTGTTTATTATTCTTTGTAATTTTATTCACTTGGGGGGGGTCAAAGGCCTTGTTTTTTGAGCTTTCTCTTCTCAAGAGGTTTCTGAGAGTTCCTTTCTTCAATTAAACACAACCATTTTCATAACTCTTCCCCTCTTCCTACTTTGTAAGATAGAGAATTTAAAATCCATTTGCTAAATTGAGTCTGGAGTGATGTGTCCTAATTTCCCTTTATTCTTTCCTTTTTTCCTAATTCTCAAATATGAAAAAATTGTGTTAAAAGCACTCATCATGGTGATTTTGAAATTTCTATTTCTAGTGCTCCTTGGTTTGTATTATTCCAGCTCTATTAGTATGTAACTACAAATTTGACTATTTTATCTTGAGTATTACTGACATTTTCCTGCATATACACCGATCATTTTTATCCTTTTTGACATCCCCTTGCCTGTTAGTCATGTTAATTGGAGGTCTGTAGCTACCTTTTCAAACAGAGTCTGACTTGGTCACCCAAGTCATCCTTGAACTGTGGTCCTCCTGTTTCAACTCCCCGAATTCCTGGTTTGCAGGCATGTGTTACCAGGGGTGACACTTGTAAACAGTATTTCCTGTTCCTTTTTATTCAAAATAACATCATGTGCTTTATGTTTGAATTTGCAATAATCTCACATAGTTTTTATTTTTTCTTCCCTAAAGTGCTGTGTTCCTCTCATGCTTCACCCTACTGTCCTGATTTATTTATCTTAAAATCTTTACCAGTACTGTTTTTTTAGACAGTCTAGTTATATTGCCCAGGCTGACCTTGAAACTCGTACATAGCTCAGACTGGCCTCAAACTCACAAGTTTGCCTGCTCTACCTCTGTAGTGCTGAGATTCCAGACAGAGGTCTATGCTGCCATTTGGTGCTGTGCATTAGACTCAGTGCCTCACACTCTCCCTTTTTTTTTTTTTTTGTCGGTCGTGGGGCCTGAACTCTGGGCCTGGGTGCTGTCTCTCAGCTCTTCAGCTCAAGTAAAGCGCTCTACACTTGAGCCACAGAGCTACTTCCAGCTTTTTCTGCTTATGTGGTGCTGAGGAATAGAGCCCAGGGCCTCATGCATGTGAGGCAAGCACTCTACCACTGAGCCAACTTCCCTGTCCCAACAAGTATTTGTGTGTGTGTGTGTGTGTGTGTGTGTGTGTTTGTGTGTGTGTGTGTCTGTCTGTCTGTCTGTCTGTCTGTCTCTCTGTCTGTCATGGGGCCTGAACTCTGAGCTTGGGTACTGTCCCTCAGCTCTTCAGCTTAAGGCTAGTGCCCTACCACTAGAGCCACAGCACCATGTCCAGCTTTTTCTGCTTATGTGGTGCTGAGGAATCAAACCCAGGGCCTCATGCATGCAAGGCAAGCACTCTACCACTGAGCCACCTTCCCAGCCCCTCACTTGGTGTTTTGCTCAAGGTTGGCAGTCTGTCACTTGATCTACACCTCCACTTACAACGTTTTGCTGTTTAATTGGAAATAAAAGTCTCATGGACTATTGCTGCCTAGGCTGACTTCAAACGGCGGAGATCCTCAGATCTCAAGGCCTTCTGAGTAGCTAAGATTATAGGCGTGAGCAACCAACTCTTGGCTTAAATCCATCGTTCTATTGGTTGAGTTGGGGTACCACAGTCTTTACCTCGCAAGTAGCTAGGATTACAGGTGTTATCTACCATCCCTCTCACAATTTTCTATGTCAGCGGTTAGTGTCAAAGTCCCATGCAGATCAAAATAAGGTCTAGTTTTTTTGTTTTGTTTTGTTGGTTGTAGGTCTTGAACTCTGGGGCCTGGGCACTGTCCTGAAGCTCTTCAGCTCAAGGCTAGTGCTCTACCACTTGAGCCACAGTGCCACTTCTGGTTTTCTGGTGGTTAATTGGAGATAAAAGTCTCACAGACTTTCTCGCCCCAGATGGCTTTGAACCGAGATCCTCAGATTTCAGCCTCCTGAGTAGATAGGATTATAGGTGTGAGCCACCAGCACCCAGCTAAGGTCTAATTTTGAAGGCTAATGTTTTATTAGAAGTAGAATAGCTGGGCTCTGGTGGCTCATACCTATAATCCTAGTTACTCAGGAGGCTGAGATCTGAGGATCAGGGTTCAAAGCCATCCTGGGCAGGAAAGTCCGTGAGACTTTTATCTCCAATTGACCATTAGAAAACTGGAATTGGCACTGTGGCTCAACTGGCAGAAAGCTAGCCTTGAGCTTGAAGAGCTCAGGGACAGGCACCCAGGCCCAGTGTTCAAGCCCCACAACAAAAAAGAAAAAGTAGTTCATAAGCCAGGTGCCAGTGACTCATACCTGTAATCCTAGGGCTGGGAAGGTGGCTCAGTGGTAGAGCGCTTGCTTTGCTGCTTAAGGCCCTGGGTTCGATTCCTCAGCACCACATAAGCAAAAAGAAAAAAGCCGGAAGTGGCGCTGTGGCTCAAGTGGTAGAGCGCTAGCCTTGAGCTGAAGAGCTGAGGAACAGCGCCCAGGCTCAGAGTTCAGGACCACGACTGGACCCCCCACCCAAAAAAAAAAGAAAAAAGAAAAAAAATACCTGTAATCCTAGCTACTTGGGAAACTAACATCTGAGGATTGAAGTTTGAAGCCACCATGGGGTAAAAAAATCCTTGTGAGACTCTTATCTCCAACTAATTAAAAAACTGGAAGTGGCACTGTGGCTCAGCGGTAGAGCACTAGCCTTGAGCACAAAGAGGCTCAGGGACAGCATTCAGTCCCTTAGTTCAAGCTCTACAATCTACATATATACATTACATACATAGAGTTCATAGACTTTCCTGCTCAGGCTGGCTTTGAACCTTAGCCTCCTGAATAGTTAGGATTATTGGAAGGAGCCACCAGCACCCTAGTGTGGGACTTGGTTTCCAATTAATCATCCCCCGCACCTCCAAAAAATAAACAAACAGAAGTAGAGCTATAGCTCAAGTGATAGAATGCCAGCCTTGAGTGAAAAAGCTAAAAAAAGAATGCCCAGGCCTGAGTTCAAGTCCTAGTACCTGCACAAAAAATAAATGAGTTAATAAATAAATGAATAAATAACATTGCTAGAAAGTAAAGATGTTAAGGTTGTAATCCCACATACGCCACATGGCCTCTCCACCTTTGTCTAACTTGACTCTCTCTCACTCTCTATCTCTGTCTTTCTCTGTATTAGAGTTTGATATCTTCTACAGCTGAATTATGCCTCCACTTCTCTTTTTCTTTCCTTTTCTCTCTCCCCTTTTTCTCCTCTTCCTTCTCCTCCTCTCCATTCCCTCCTTCCTTCCTTCCCTCCTCTTCCCTTTTCTACCCGCCCCTCTCCTCCCCCTCTCCCTTCCCTTCCCTTCCCTTCCCTTCCCTTCCCTTCCCTTCCCTTCCCTTCCCTTCCCTCCCTCCCTCCCTCCCTCCCTCTATTCCTTTGTTGTTGTTGGTTGTTTATTATCCCTGAGCTCTTTTGCTCAAGGTTGCTCAAGGCTAGTGCTCTACTACTTTGAGCCATATCCCACTTCCAGTTTTCTGGGGGTTAATTGGAGATAAGAGTCTTTTGGACTTGTATTCCTGGGCTGGCTTGGATGAGTAGCTAGAATTACAGATGTGAGCCACCAGCACCCTTTCTTCCTTTTTGAAGCAGTGTTTGTTTTAGTCCAGGATAACCTGGGACTTCTTGACTCAGGATCCTTCTGCCTTTGCCTCCTCGGTAGCTTGGATCACAGGCATGCAGCAAAGTGCTCCGTTTCCTTCTCTGGGTCTTTATTTGAGCTGAGAGTTGAGCCCTTAGGACTGCAGGAGCCACGGAGGGAGGTCAGTTGGGAGTTAGGGAGGAGGGTTCTGGGGGTCAGTGAGCCTCTGTGCGCTAGTCTCCACCTCCCTGCTGTCTCAAGGTGAGTTAACTGACTCCCCACACTTACAGGGCTTTCTGTTACTAGCCATTGTTCTCCCTCATCTTTTCCCAGGGCCTGTCTGCTGCCCTGGCTCTCTTGACTGCCTCCTCTGAGTCTTAATGGACCACCTTTAGTGAGGCTCTCTTGGACAATCTCTCTTGATCGTCTCTGTCCCTATGTGTTGTTTCCTTCAGTGCATTTAAGACATTGTATTATAAACAGAATTCATCAAGTGACCTGGTCATTATTGCTGGCCCCAGTCATGACCTCTATAAAACCCTTGCTTTCCCAGTACATGACTGAGTGCCCGCTGCTTTAAGGAGCATTTGTGTGCATGTGTGTACACATAAGCCTGTCCCTGGAAGCCCTGTCACTGCCCATCCAAGCACCTCTCAGCATGCGTGGGCTGACACAAGTCACCCAGTGAGTTCACAAGGTGGTTTGTATGCAGAGCCTATACCTGTCTGTTCTTGACCTCTTAACCCCTCTAAACACTAAGGACAGGGTTGGGTTGCCTTCTCTGATGAAAGGCTGCTGGGTAGAAGTCCTTCTATAGTCCTCTGTGGGAGCAGCAGCTTCCCAGGTGCAGTGAGAACACTCCTCCAGCAGAAGGTCAGGGAGACCTGTGTACGTGGAGAGGTGGGAGAGGGTCACTCACTCTGGGCAGTGTTGTGTGGGGTGTGTTTTATTGTCTGGTATAAACACACAGTCATGAATGTGTGTACACACACTGAGGTGATATATCTGCTTTAGATCCATGCCTGTACATCCCACGCTTTGCCCACCTGCTGGAGTTTGGAGAGAAGAACCATGAAGTGTCCATGACAGCCCTGAGGCTCCTGCAAAGGATGAAGAGAGACTGGATGCACACAGGCCGGCGTCCCTCAGGCCTCTGTGGAGCAGGTACGGTGGCCCTGGGCCTGCCCCTAGGAGGCAGTCACTGGCTGGATGTCTCTGTGGAGCAGGTGCGGTGGCCCTGGGCCTGCCCCTAGGAGGCAGTCACTGGCTGGATGTTTCTGTGCTGTTCTTTTTTTTCCTGATACTTCCCTGATGCTTTGATCTGGAAATCAAATCCAGGACCTGTACCATGGTGAACAAATCTGCATCACTAAGTTAAGCCATTCAGCCCTCTACCTGGACCCTGGAGCAGCCAAGCCCATGGGAGTTGTAGATTCTGTTTCCAGAGCAGACCTCATACTAAGAGCTGTCTTGTATGCCCAGGAGGGTCCTCAGCCCTTGAGGACTTGCATTACCCTTCCTGCTACCGTGCAGTGGTAGGTCCCACATAAGGAACAAGATCCTCAGAGGCTGAGGGGGACCAACTGGGAGCTCTAGCCTTGACTCCAGGTTGTCCACTTACGATGGATTACCTGTGCTTAGTGTGGTGAGGGTGTGACCTCCGAGGCTTGAGTCCTGGGCAGAGATGCCACTGGGCCCAGCAGTGTGGTTGTTTGGGTCACCACGATGAGGACCTTCAGACTGGCCACCGCAGAGGAATGCTGTGCATTGCTCTGGATGGGACCGTGGCCCAGGGCTCCTGCCTACGAAAACCCCAGTGACAGCAAAGCCCTATTGCCCTTCTGGTACTATTTCTTCTCAAGAGTGCCAGGCACCAGCTTCTACAGTCAGCCACAAGCAGGACTGATTCTAGCTGAATCCAGTTTTCACTTAAAGCCTGCCATCCACATTTGTGCTACAGATTCCAGCCCCGTTTGGTCTGCAGTGGCCCTGGTGAACATGTATTCACCAGTACCTGTGGCTCCATGCCCTTGGCCACATCCTCAGAATCCTCAGGATCCTCAGCTTTTGTTGCAACCAGCGTTTCACAGACCAGTGACTTCTGAGGTAGCTTGTGTGCTTTGAAATGTTATATGGCGTTCTCAGACTTCCTATTTTAATTTTCCCTGTATTTCAAAGTAGAATATAATGCTACCACAACCTAACAGTTGGGGAACATCTTTGCCTAGCAATTCCATACCACGCATCTGTCTCTTTAAGGACGGTGGGTATCATTCTATCCCTCTCTGCTCACTTGTAGGAGCTGCTGCAGCAGGCAAGTGTACCACTGCCCTGGTGGCAGACTCATCTTGCCCAGGCTCAGCCCTCACCCTCCAGGATTTTAGCAGAATTGTTTTCTATGCCTGTAATCCTAGCTACTTATGAGGTAGAGATCAGTGGATCTCCGTTTGAGGCCAGTTTAGGCATAAAAAATTTTCAAGGCTCCATCTTTTTAAATTTTTTAAAAATCTTCAGTAGTTGTACAAAGAGGTTTCACTTCCACAAGTTAGATGATGAGTACAATGCATCCTGACAATGTCAATCTTTCCATTCTTCTCCCCCATCTCTCCCTATCCCATCTCTACCCTCAAGTCACATAGTTCAACTTTTATGCCATGTTTAATATTGTATAATGATTGCATTTGCTTACCTTTTCTCCTTCTCCCCTCACAAAAAAACGTGTTTCAGCTTCCTGGTATTCTTTTCATTAAATGACTAGTTAGTTGTTCAGAAGAATTATACCATTGTACCTTTGGACTTCTTTCTGAAAAACTCCATCTGTGTGTCTGTGTCTGTGTGCGTGCACGCACGCCAGTTTTGAGGCTTGACCTCAGAGCCTGGGTCCTGTCTCTGGGCTCCTTTTGCTGAAGGCTAGCACTCTACCACTTGAGCCACAGCTGTACTTTCAGCTTTTTTGGTAATTAATTGGAGATAAGAGTCTCACAGGCTTTCCTGCTTGGACTGGCTTCAAACCTTGATACTCAGGGCCCAACAGCCTTCTAAATAACTAGGATTATAGGCATGAGCCACTGGCTCCCTGCTGAAGACACCATCTTTTTCTTTTTTCTTTTTTGATTGTGGGGCCTGAACTCTGGGCCTGAGTTCTTCAGCTCAAGGCTAGCGCTCTACCACTTGAGCCACAGCACCACTTCCGGCTTTTTCTACTTATGTGGTGCTGAAGAATCAAACCCAGGGCCTCATGCATGTAAGGCAAGCGCTCTACCACTGAGCCACCTGTTCCCAGCCCTGAAGACTCCATTTTAACAGATGGCTGGAATAGGTGGTGAGTGGTTATCACAGTGATGAGAGAAGCACAGGTGGGAATCACAGCTCAGCCCAGCCAGAGGGAGGCATAAAGGGATCTATCTCAAAAACAACCAACCTGGGCTGGGAAGATGGCTCAGTGGTAGAGCGCTTGCCTCGCATGTATGAGGCCCTGGGTTTGATTCCTCAGCACCACATAAACAGAAAAAGCCAGAAGTGGTGCTGTGGCTCAAGTGGTAGAGCACTAGCCTTGAGATGAAGAGCTGAGGGATAGTGCCCAGGCCCAGAGTTCAAGCCCCAGGACTGGCAACGAAACCCAAAAATCAACCCTGAAAGAAGCTGCTGGAGCAACTCAAATAATAGAACTCCTGCCTAGCAAGCATAGTACCAGAAAGGGAAAACATTGTTTTCTTAGTTACCATTTGTGGTTCAGTTTTCCTTTTGCTCTTCTCTAGCACTTCTGGTTGCTGCCCGAATGCATGACTTCCGGAGAACTGTGAAAGAAGTCATCAGTGTGGTCAAAGTATGTGAATCCACACTGCGGAAGAGGTGGGTATGCTGGGCGTGGTGTGGGGGCCACCAGGGGAGGCTGCTTGTTGGCACTGTGGCTGCTCCCCTAGGACCAGCCTGACCTGCAGGGGCACTCAGCCTTCCTGCTCTAGTGTCTAAGCTAAATCAGGGCAGAGCAATACGAGATGTGTGCACCATGCCCCAACTCATCAACGTCAGGGAACAGGCAGGAAGACTGCTCTGGCGTCCAGTGGATGCCTCCTTACCCATTCAGTGCAGTCTTTGAGCCTGAGTGAGCTGTCTCCCTATGGGAAGCTAAGAGTTAGACAAGTGTCACTATGTCTGTTTGCCCAGTGGCATAGCTAGCTAGCCAGTTATGTGGCAGAGGCTTTGCACCCCTGCTTTGGCAGCAGTGTTGACAAGTTGTTCACAGCCTATCTGGAAAAGCCCCCATGACATAAACAGGAGGCAGACCTGCTTGCAGACGGTAATCACTATTGCCTTTATCGTAGACCTGGCCATCCCATGGCTGTGTTCGTCTGTTATAGCAGCTTTCCAGAAGCAGGAGGGAAATTATTTTGCTTTGAATATTTAGACTCCAATTATCTTTAAAAATCATTTCATTAAACATTTTGAAGACCATATACAATGGAAAGGAGTTGATAATCTTGTTAGCCAACACAGACATGTCTAATCTCTACCCTGACTTAGGGCAGATGGAGATTCTGGGGCTTCCTGTCTTATATCCGAACCCAGGGGGAGTTACCGTAAAGATGAGAGTATTGTAGGCTTTTCTCCCAGGGACTTGAGCTTGTGAGAGGATGGGTGGGGACTGAGAAGCTTTCAGAAGGAGACTGATGAGCCCACGGTTGTGGTTGGGTTACCTGAGCTGGCAATGCTTTAGGGAGGAGAGGCTTCCACCTGGCCTTTAGATACTGCGGCTGTGATACTATTGCAAAAGAATATTTGCTCATGGAGGTAAGACACCAAGAAAGTTTATTAGTAAAGCAAAGGAATGGAGAGATAAGTAGCATATCTGCTGGCATATCTGATCACAAGTGCCATGAGTGCTCTAATATCATGTGTATTTAAGATGAAGGAGAAAAAAAAAAGCTCAGAGCTGGTGGCTCAAAATGGTAGTCCTGGTATATGTAATTATTCTTGCTGTTACACTATTTTATCTATCAGATCCAGAGATTGAAAGATTAGACTGCTTTTAAAGCTTGAGTCCTTATGACATAGATGTCAGAGTATTCCTTTAAACCATGGTCCATGAAATAATTTGGTACACCATAGGATAGATAAATATGCTTCTCATATGCTTTTTTTTGTCGGTCATGGGACTTGAACTCTGGGCTTGGGCGCTGTCCTTGCGCTCTTCAGCTCAAGGCGAGCGCTCTACTGCTTGAGCTACAGCACCATTTCCGGTTTCCGAGTAGTTTATTAGAGATGAGTTTCACCGACTTTCCTTCCCAGGCTGGCTTTGAACTGTGATCCTCAGATCTCAGCCTCCTGAGTAGCTAGAATTACAGGTGTGAGCCACCGGCATGCTCGCACACGTGCATGTGTGTGTGTGTGGTGTGTGTGTGTGTGTGTGTGTGTGTGTGTGTATGTGTCCTTTGAGCTTTTTTGCTCAAGGCTAGCACTCTGCCACTTGAGCTACAATTCCACATCTGGCTTTTTTGGTGCTTAATTGTTGATAAGAGTCACAGACTTTCTTGCTTGTGCTGGCTTCAAAACGCGATCCTCAGCTCTCAGCTTCCTGAGTAGCTTCGATTACACGTGTGAGTCACCGTACCTGGCTTCTCTCGTGTGCTTTTGGTCAGCTGCCCATAGCCATCTGCCTCTGTTAATAATATCCAAATGATCAAAGACCACAGTGTCAGACCTGAAACTCTGGAAAAACATTAGAACTTACAGGCACAGACAGGAACTTCTTGAACAGAGTCCCAGGAGCACAATGGAGAGGCAAGAGACTCAACAAGTGGGACTACATTAAAATAAAAGGTTTCTGCATAGCTAAGGACATAGTTACTAAACTAGAAAGACAAACAGCCCGACTGGGAAAAGATCTTCACCAGCAATACACCAGACACACCAGCAATACATCAGACAAAGCCTAATATCTAGTATATACAAGGAGCTCAAGAAACTGACTTCTCCCAAACCTACTACACCAATCACTAAATGGGCAAGGGAACTAAGAAGAGACTTCTCAGAAGAAGAGGTAAGAATGGCAAAGAAACACATGAAGAAATGCTCATCATCACTGGCCATAAAAGAAATGCAAATCAAACCAACTCTGAGATTCCATCTCACCCCAGTAAGATTGGCCAACATTTTGAATTCACACAACAAATGCTAGAGGGGATGTGGGGAAAAAAGAACCCTACTAGACTGCTGGTGGGAATGTAAATTAGTACAACCACTCTGGACAACAGTCTGGAGGTTCCTCAAAAAACTAAACATAGGCCGGGCACTGGTGGTTCACGCCTGCCATTCTAGCTACTCAGGAGGCTGAGATCTGAGGATTGCGGTTCAAAACCAGCCAGGAAAGTCCTACCCAGGCTGGCTTTGAACTGCGATCCTCAGATCTCAGCCTCCTGGGTAGCTAGGATTATAGGCATGAGCCCCCGGCACCTAAACATAGTACATTCACATGCACATCTGTGGAGGGAGGGCACAGAATCCCAGATAAAAGGATGAAGAATTGCAGCAGTGGAGTGCACTGGACATAGATGAAAGTGAACTGTGCACCTCGTGGGTAGAGAGGGGAGAGAGGTAATGGGAGAGAACGATGGAATAGATGACACTATACAGAAGGAAATGTACTTACTACCTGATGCATGAATGGCAACCCTGTTGTGTATCACCTCTAAATAAAAATAAATTGGAAAAAAGTTAAAAAATAATAGTAAATTGAAAACAACATCAAAATAATATCCATATGGCCCTTGACACCTGATTTAAACAAAGGCTGGGTTCTGCCAGGTGCTTCCTTCAAGACAGGTATTCATTACATGGTATTTTCCTTTGCAAATTCTCTTTATTGTTATTACTGGGCTGGGAAGGTGGCTCAGTGGTAGAGTGCGTGCCTTGCATGCATGAGGCCCTGGGTTCAATTCCTCAGCACCACATAAGCAAAAAGAAAAAAGCTGGAAGTGGTGCTGTGGCTCAAGTGGTAGAGCGCTAGCCTTGAGCTAAAGAGCTGAGGAACAGCGCCCAGGCCCAGAGTTCAGGCCCCACGACCGGAACCCCCCCCCCCCAAAAAAGAAATAAATTGTTATTACTAAGTAGTTGTATTAAGGGGGTTGCAGGTTATAAGTACAGTGCTTCTTGACAATGTCACTTTTTCCTTCACCCCCTCATTTTTCCCCTTGCAAATATTCTTAGTGCACCAAAGAGTCATTTTTCCCTAAAGTTTTCCCCAGGATGTTTGTTTTTAAGATATCTTGATCCACTGGACACCAGTGTTGACACCTATAATCCTAACTACTCGAGGCTGATTCTGAGGATTGCAGCTCTCCTGCCCAGGCAGGAGAGCCCATGAGACTCCTATCTCTAATTAACCACCACAAAAGCCAGAAGTGAAGCTGTGGCTCAAATGGTAGAGCACTAGCCCTGAGCAAAAAATAAAAAAACACCTCAAGGACAGTGCTCAGGCCTTGAGTTCAAGCCCCAAGTCCGGCAAGAGAGAGACAGAGACAGACAGAGAGAGCTGTTCTTTCTTCCCTTTTATTCTTTTTACTAGAATGTTGCAGCTTATTATTGAAAGGGTGTCAGGTGTGAAGTAAAATAGTACTTGTGTGTTCGTAATCAAACCATTCAGTAGTTTTCATTAATCCAGTATTTATGTCTGAGTTTATGGCTGCTGTTTTCCATACTTCACTTCCCGTGGCCTTCCTGCCTCAGTGTGACCAGGGTCTATGAGAGAACCTGCTTGCAGACACAGGTTTAGTTAAGTGTTAGGCTGGGCAGGGTGGTTTGTCCCTCTAATCCTCACTACCTTGGAGGCAGAGATTGAGAGGATTGCTGTCCAAAGCCCTCCGAGACAAAAAGTTTTAGTAATATCTCAAGAAATAAGTTGGGCCTGGTGGTATGTAACTGTGATCCTACCTATCCTGGAGACAAAGGGTAGGAGGGTCATGGTCTGAGGTTGGTCCTGGCAAAAACTGTGAGACTTAAATCTGAAAAATAACTAAAGTAAATAAAGGCTCTGAGTATGTTTCAAGTTGGTAAGAGTACCTGGTTAGCAAGCACAAGGTATAGAGTTCAAACCCCAGGACTGCTAAAAAATTTTTTTTTTAAGTTTTCATGGCATTGAACCTTACTTACCTGTTTTAGGCTCACAGAATTTGAGGATACGCCCACCAGTCAGCTGACCATTGATGAGTTTATGAAGATTGATTTGGAAGAGGAATGTGATCCACCGTCGTACACAGCTGGACAAAGGAAGCTGCGCATGAAGCAGGTGGCACCAATCTGGGCCTCTTACTGCACCCTTCCCACCAGCACTCGGGTTTCTAAGAGCATTTGAGGTCTAACATTTTGAGTCTGTTGTTCCCAAAAAACGGCTTAGCAACCTAGGGCAAACTTCATCTGTGTCCTGGCATAGGCTGTGTTCTCAGCCCTTGGAATGAGGAGGTCGCAGAGGCATGCTGAGTGTTGAAACCCTCCCAGCCCCATTCATGTTGGGGCTGCTGCCAGGCTCCCACGCCCAGCTCACTGAGCCCATCCCAGAGCTAGGCTTTATTTCAAAGCTAGAATGTAGAGTGAGCTCCACAAATAATGTGTGGTTTAGAATATACCACAAGTGAGTGCTTCGTCACCTGAGGCAGCTGCTACTGCGGCTGTATCTCCTTTGTGTTTTTGTCATTGGGCTCATGGGCCTTCTTGCATGCCATTGCTATTTCCAGTGAGGAGGACAGAGGTGAGCTTTGGCTGCCTAGTAGAGGACTCTCTCGCTTCTGGGTTCTCAAGGTGAGCTACCTGTCTCTAGTGCCAGTGTGATGTTACTTGCAAGAGGGCCCAGGTCGCTTTACTTCCATTTCCTCCAGTGAAGCACATATCCCATGACACCCATGGCCTGATGGACACTGAACCCCGCAGACATTGAACTCACCAAGTGTCCTCTCTTCTCTTTCAGCTTGAACAAGTCCTGTCCAAAAAACTGGAGGAAGTTGAAGGTAACCAACCGGAATTCCCATACCAATGCTTCTGTTTGCTTAGGATAATTGGCTTGCACTTACCTTTTGCTTTTAACTGGGTTACTTCAGGTGAAATATCCAGTTACCAGGATGCCATTGAGATTGAACTAGAAAACAGCCGGCCAAGGCCAAAGGGAGCCCTTGCCAACTTGTCGAAGGATGGTGAGTACTCCCTGCCTTCCTGGGCACACATGACTCCAGGCCCGCAGCCCTAGGACCTCTCTCTGACATTGGATACCACCCTTCTCACCACCATTTCCCAGGAAACACGGTTGGTTCTGCACCGCAGGTCCCATGCCCACCCAGGCTGCTGATTACCTGCCTTCTGGTCCTGTCTGGTCCTGATGTGTTGGAGTCATTGTTCATATATGTCTCCTGGCATGCGTGGCTACTCACACCACTCAAGCACTTCCTTATCATCTGAGTTCCTGTCCCTAGTCTCTGTAGGCTGGCCTCCTGTTGCCTCAGCTGTGCCCCACCCCCAGGGTCATTATCCTTCCTCTGGCTCCGGAGCTGCCAGCAGCTTACATGTACAGTGCGAGCTGGCCTTCGTGGAGTTATGAATTGCGGGACTGTGAACACTGGCCGTGGCAGCTGATGCTCAGTGCTCATGCCTGTCCACTACCCACACACCTCCAGTTTCCAGTCTGGGCTTTGAGAACTGCCATGAGCATTCATGCTATTAGACAGGGCTCTATTCTGGGCTGTGCAGCGGGATGAGAGAGTGCATACCGCCACCCTCCTTGGGGGGCAGTGTGAGATACATATGCTCTGCATCCTTGCGTTGGTCTCCTGTGCCTTGGTTTGTGTTTGGAGGAACTACCTGCACCAGCAGCAGCCAGGGCTGTGCGCCTAGTGCTTGCTGCCCTTTGAAACGGCTCTCAGAAACAGGCAAGCGTCTCATCATCTCAGCTTCTCCAGACATTTGTTTCATGTGAGGTTTAGGACCACCTGTCTCATCTTCCCAGTCCTCCCTGTGCTTCACCTGGCAGAGCTTGAGGCTACCTCACTTACTCTGCTCTTTCCTCTCCCTCCTGAGAATAGGCATCTCTTTGCTCTGGTCTTCTGTTCTGTGTGCTGAAGTGTGTAGATATGGTTTGCCCAGGCTCTGCTGTCCTCTGTGCCAAAGTCTGTAGACATGGCTCAGCCAGGCTCTGCTGTCGCTCTCTGCATGCTAAAGTCTGTAGACATGGCTCAGCCAGGCTCTGCTGTCGCTCTCTGCATGCTAAAGTCTGTAGACATGGCTCAGCCAGGCTCTGTCCTCTGTGTGGCTATCATTTTTCCTCTTATTTCCACATCTGCTTGCTGCTGACTTGCTACTGATTTTGCTCCTGTGTGGGAGGAATCTTGTTACTGCATTTAGTAGTTTTCGGTGTATCCATGAGTTTTTCCAAGTAATTAATTGTGTCATCTATACATAATAGTCAATTCTCTACAGACTTTTGTTGTTGTTGTTGTTGTTGTACCAAGGTTTGATCTATGAGGGCCTTGCACTTCTTGCTCAGCTTGTTTGCCTGACTGACATTTTCATTTGAATCATGTCTACAGCCCTACTTTTTGCTAGTTATTTTGGAGAGGGAGTCTTGTGGATTTTTCTGCTTGCACTGACTTCAAATTGCAATCCTACAGATCTCAGTTTCCTCAGTAGTTAGGATTATAGGTATGGATCACCAGTGCCCAGCTTTACTAACTCTTGCATCCTAATTTTTTTCCTCAAGTTGCCTGATTCTACCTTGCCTCTCTGAATCTTGACAGCCGTGTTATGTCCCCATGCCCCCTGACCCTCCAGCTTGTATAGGCCAGGATATCTGCACTGCCAGTCACCTTCTACCTTTAATACCAAGGACAGGCCCCACCACTCACCGAGAGGTCTGGTCAGTGAGTGTGTGTTCTGGGCATCCACAGCATTTGTAGGCCACAGGCATTCATATGGTGGACCAGTGCCATCCATGATTTTGACATGCCCACTGCATGCCTTCCTGCTTCCCAGGAGGTGCCACTGAGCCGCAGGGTTGCCCATTCCTGCCCATTTAGGCTTTTGTCCTAACGGTGCAGAGTTAAACATAGTTACGTTGTAAGGTACTTTGGATTCTTTGTTCTTTTTTTCATTATTTCTTCCATAGTTTTGCTCTGTTTTTTTCCTAGCTAGGTTATTGCTGCCCATTTGGCAGCCTTTGTGTTGGTTCACATTTCCGCCTTTGGAGGTCTTTGCTTACCTCCATGCTTCCTTTTACCCCTGTCACCCTACCCTCCGCCAACACCTCACTGACGTCCTCGGATCACTGCTGGCCGCACCTCTAGCTAGCAAGCTTTCCACTGGTGGCCATTGGTCCTACTGTGAAGTGTTTCAGTTTCTCCATCCTGGGTTATTTCTGCTCTTCTGTGAGACAGTTGTGCCATTGTGGAGGTGGGGTGGGGTCAAATGTAGACACGAACCTCTTGTCTCTGTGCTGTCCTTCGGGGTGCAGTTTCCAGAGCACTTGGGAAGGAGGTAGAGGCACCTGTGGCCCAGGCATGGGTAGGGCTCTGCCACTTTTGACATCGGCACTCACTGCTTCACTTGCCAGAAGGCTGCTGTCCTGAAGGCCTGGTCCTCGTTGCATTGACCCTTGCAAACACAAGGTGGCTGGCCACTGCCCTCTAACTGCCCTTGTTGTGATGGCTGTGGTCTGGCTTCTGCCCTGGACACCTACTCTGAAGGTTCCCCTCTACCCAGTGAGAACAGGTCTTACTTCATCCTTGCTTGTCCTGTTCCATCAGTTGGCCTATCTGGGAATGCCTTACATGGCAGAGACCTGCTTTGCCTGTTTGCTGCGACCTGAAAAGCTTTTTCTTCTAATTGAAATAAGCTGATATCCTTACTGATCAGCTTCTTGCAAGGAATTGTCTAAACTTTGGTCTTGTTTCCATTCTAGCAGTGTTCTTTGTAACTTTTTTCGTTCCTCTGTTTCTTGGACAATGTCTGCTCGTACTTGCCCCACCCAAGGAAAACAGACATGGTTCCTGCTACTCTCTCAGCACAGAGCTGGCCACAGATAGGGCATTCTGAACGGCATGGGGGCGGTGCGGGCCATGCAAGGTCTCAGACAATAGATGAACGGGATAGGGGCTGCACAGTGGACGCTGGCGGTACTTCTCGGGCATATGACACCTTGGTGTAGGGTCCACTTTGGCAGCCTGGGGCAAGGTGGCTGCCTGTAGCAGCCTGTACCCCTGGTGACGTGAGCCACACTGAGAAGCAGCCTCAGTGTGGCCTGCTTAGAGCAGATGAAGCAGGGAGATTCTTTCAGATATGCCTTTAACCATTAGATATTTTCGTCATGTGAGGTGTGACACACACAGCAAGCTGCACATAGATGAAAAGCCCTTTGGCTGTTGCTTGAACCTGAGCAGAGCTGAGAAGCCAGCACCATCAGGCTGACTCCCAGACCTCAGACCTGGCGCTGCTTCATGTCCCCAGGCCCTTTGCCACACACCCCACTGTGCGCCCAGGCTGCTCTGGATGCTCTCTGCCACGGAGGCAGTGGCATTGCTAGACTGTCCCACAAGTCTTCTATATACACAGTGTGCATGCATTCTACCTCCCCTGTTTTTTCCACTTGGTGTAATTATTTTGAATCACTCCTCACTAATTTGTCACTTTTTATTGTGGTACAATAAGCACAAACAGGGGCTGGGAAGGTGGCTCAGTGGTAGAGCGCTTGCCTTGAGCTGAAGAGCTGAGGGACAGTTCCCAGGCCCAGAGTTCAGGCCCCACGACCAAAAAAAAAGTCTCACTGACTTTCCTGCCCAGGCTGGCTTTGAACTGTGATCCTCAGATCTCAGCTTCCTGAATAGCTAGGATTGCAGGTGTGAGCCACCAGCACCTGGCTCTCAAACTTTTATGTCTGGGCTGTCCTGAAACTGTAATCCCCTAATCTCTGTTCTGTGTGTGTGTGTGTGTGTGTGTGTGTGTGTGTGTGTGTGTGTCTGTGTGTGTCTGTGTGTGTCTGTGTCTGTGTGTCTGTCTATGTGTCTGTCTGTGTGTGCACCACGTGAGTGCACGTGCACCAGTCCTGATCAAAGCCTGCACTGTCCCTGAACTCTTTTGCTCAGGGCTATCACTCTACCACTTGAGTCACAGCTTCACTCCTAGTTTTTTTTGGTTTTTTGTTTGTTTTTTTCCTTTGGTGCTTAATTGGTGATAAGAGTCTCACAGACTTTCTTACCTGAGCTGGCTTCAAACGGAGGTCCTCAGATCTCAGACTCCTGATCGGATAGAGCCACCAGTGCTTTGCTCTTTTTTTTTTTTCAGGAAGGGGGTGCTTGTACTGGGGCTTGAACTTAGGGCCTGGGATCTGTCCCTTGGCTTTTATGCTCAAGGCTGTTTTTCTACCACTGTTCCACAGCTCCGCTTCTGGCATTTTGCTAGCTAATTAGAGATAAAAGAGTCTCAATGACTTTCTTGTCTGGGCTGGCTTTGAAACACAGTCCTCAGATCTTCGATTCAAACTCTGCTTCTTAAGTAGCCAGGATTATAGGCTTGAGCCACTGTGACCAGCCACATTTAATTCCTTTGTCCTGGGAAGAAAGTGGAGTTGGTAGGTAGGGGTAAGGTGGCATGCAGATGTTTTTAAAAGTTCAGTTTGCATAGTGGCCACCCCATGTACTTCAGCAGCAGCCTGTCAGAGCCTAGCCGCTCTGTGTGTGCAGTGCTGTCACTCTGTGCTTGCACTCAGCTGACCTGACATTTCCTGATGACAGCCATACAGAGAGGACCTTCCCTGCTGCGCCCCTGTTCAGTGTCCTCTGTGCTGCCATTGCCATCCTTTCTTTTGCCTGCTTTTTAGTTGGACTGTGTGTTTGTTCGTGGAGTCTAGGAGTTTTGCGTGTTGTAGATGTATCTGTCAGATGTGTGATCACTAACGGTGCCTGAGTCTATTCCATCATATTGACAGTGTTTTTTACAGAGGGAATGGTTATGAGAATTTTTCAAACTCCATGTTTTTACAGAGGGAATGGTTATGAGAATTTTTCAAACTCCATGTTATCAATGTTTTATGTATTGTGCTCTAACATGATATCTAGATGTTTTTGCCTAATCCAAGGTCACAGACATCTTTCTTTTTCCTGAAATTCCTCTGCTTCTAGTTGTCACACTTAGGCCTCTGGTCTGAGTATGAGAAATGGTAAAACATTCTTTCATGTGGATACCCTGGGACCATTGGCCAGTAGGACTTCTTTCTCTGCTACAGGAGAGGCATGCTTCTGGTAGTGTTTGTGCTGCTACTTTTCTTTTAACAGGAATGTTTCTGTCACAGGTGGGCTCCTCTGCCTGGCTGACTGGTGGTCTGTGCATCATGTGTCCATAGGTTCTGCCGAGGAAGCTACATCTAGCCCGTTGGGTGAAGAAGATGCTGAGGATGAAGAGCTGGAGGCTGCCGCCAGCCACATGAACAAAGACTTTTACCAGGAGCTCCTAGGTGGTGGCAGCAGTTCAGAAGCAGAAGAAAGCACTGAGGGGGGTGGCAGGCCCCTGGCCTTGGAGTCCCTGCTTGGTCCCCTGCCCACAGCAGCCAGCCTGGGCATCTCTGATCCCATCCGAGAGTGCATCTCCTCCCCAAGCCTGGACCCCAGTGAGTGCCCTTGAGCAGGGAGGAGTCCAGTCCACACTGTCTCATTGGAATGGACTGGATCCCATGGTTTATTCAGAAAGGGAAGAAAGCAGGCTGTGGGTGGGGTACTACCAGGCCACAATGGAGCTCTGTGATAAGAAGTGGGGTATATACCAAACCCCAGAGTGCCATCAGGCGCCCTCCACTGTCACACATTCCCTTGATGGCCTTAGGTAGCCCTTAGTGGCCTGTGTTCCAGGGCTGGAATGACTGCCATGCAACTGGGAGGTAGCACTGGTGTAGCTTGAAGTTCTGCACAGGTTGGGACCAATGTCCCTTGGCACTTTTCCTGATACTATGGCAGGAAAGTCTGGCCTGGGCATGTGCAGTCAGAACACTGCTGACCCTCAGCCCCAGTGACAAGGCACCTGAGAGGACCTTTGTCCCCACCCCACAGCACCTAGGGCCCAGGCCCTGCTCATTTCCCTTCCTCTCCTACAGAGGTGGACGGGTCCCATTCCAGTCCCAGGCCCTCCTCCTGGCAGGTGCCAAAGCTCACTGAGGGGGATTCTAGCAGGATACCACCCAGTCAGTACAGCATCTGGGCCAGCTGTCCACAGGGCAGGAAAGCCTGGGTGGGCCCCCACAGGGCTCTGGGCAGAAGGCATGTGCAAAGACGTTCAGAAGCCCAGGCACAGTGGCCCTGGAGCAAGAGAGCTAGGCCATGGAGCAGACTTCAGAGGGTCTGAGGGATGGTTCTAACCATAGAACTGCCCACAAGTCTTACCTGTCAAGGATGAAGATTGGCAGTGTGATCGGAGTTGACAAGTCTTATTAAAGGCATTGGGTGAAGGTCTGTGGGGAGAAGGGACTGCCTGACCCCAGGCTATGCAGATTGCCTGTGACCATACAAGACCTCTAGAGGCCTGGACTCCCAGATCTCCCTTGTGTCAGTCCAGGCCTCGGTCACACTCTCATGGTATTTGCTCTTAGCAGCTCTTCACTGTGCTCTTGCTCTGGGCCATGTGCTTCTTGCTGAGGCCACAGAGCCAGTGTCTGTCCACAGACATTCATGTCTTACTGCAGGGCACAGGTGTGTGGGGGCTTCCTGCGCAGCCTGAGTCTGATATCCTGCTTTCTCACGTAGTGTTCTGATGTAAGTGCCGTCCTCTGTGGACTCAGACAGGGTGGACGTGCAGTGGGGTCAGAGGAGGGCAGTGCTCCCACAGCCCCATGGCCTGGACCCACCTTCAGCACCAGGTATCTGTGTTCCTTTGACAGAGCTCTCCCTAGGTGACACTGATGTGCACTTTCTTCTAGAAGACACCTCAGAGGATGGCGAGCTGGACCTCAGTGGTATTGACGACCTTGAGATTGACAGAGTGAGCAAACTTCCCAAGAGATGGTTAGGTTCTCTGGAGCACAGAGTGGAATTGGTCTTCCAGACCCAGCCCCTGCCACGCGAGTGGCCTTGCCTGGGTGTCCACACAGGCATGAGCGTGCTCTCGCGGCCAGACCCTGCCTCCTCACTTCCCTCCTCCAGCTCCTCTCCAGGGCAGCCCCAGCCACCATATGCCCTTCCTGCTGGCAGCCAGAGCCAGGCTCTGGGCTGACGCTGTTAGTATCTGCATTTGGCCGTTGCTGCTATTGGGCCATCTGATTGGGTGCCTCTGTAGATGCAAGTATGTTGAGCATCTCCAGATCCCAAGCCTCTATGGTCCCAGGCGTGTGCACTGGCTCTTTGCAGCTTATCTCAGTAGTACTGGTCTGCTATAGGTCTTTCTCCTTCTCATCTTACCATACCTAAGATATTTGTTGACATTATGTTATCAATATAATGTTGACATTATATTATCCCTTAGCTTGGGATCTTCATGGGGCCTGTAGCTTGTACTCTTGTGTCCCACAGCTGAGAGCTGCCAGTGAGGATCTGGGAGCCTTGGACTCTAGTTCATAGCTAAATGAACTCTGGTCAGCTGAAAAGGGTAAAGAAGCAACCTGTTTCTACCGTAGAGTCTCGCCAGCATTTCTTCTTCCTTTAGCAATTACTCACATAAAGGGGCAGTGTGATGTGAGAGCTCTTAGTGTATCTTGAATGCAGAAGCTGGAAGCTGAAGCCTTCCCTGTGCTTCACACAGTATATCCTGAATGAATCCGAAGCCCGAGTGAAGGCTGAGCTGTGGATGCAGGAGAACGCAGAGTACCTGCGGGAACAGAGGGGTAAGCAGCTGTTTGTTACCTCTCCGGCCCTGTGGCATAGCCTTCCACTGACAGCGGCAACTTGGTTCAATTTCTAGAGAAAGAAGAGAGAATAGCTAAGGAGAAGGAGCTGGGTATCTACAAGGAGCACAAGGTAGGAGTCTCTGAGGGCTGGGTTTTCTGCTTGTGCTGTGAAGTGAGCAGTGTTCCCTTCCCTGTGACCATAGAGCCTGGGGTCCAGGACAGGCTACAGGAGCTTTGTGCTCTGGACCCAGACACTCAGCCCTGGGCTATCATATTGTCCCGTATTGGTCCTGTGCACTAGGGATTTGCTCCCTCATGGGTGGGCATGCCCCAGGTTTGGGGGTGTGGTCCTGGCACAGATGCCAGGTCAGGCTGAGGTAAGCCTCAGGACTGGACCCTGAGAACCCTGGACTTGCATGCCTTGCCACAGACAAAAGGACTGTCTACATCCACTGGAGAAGCCTGGTATGGTGCCCTCCTCCCTGCGCTGTTGGCTATCTTAGTGTCTGGGTTCTGCTGCCCATGCTGGGGCCTGAACACAATTAGCCTCCAGGTGGTGCCTTTGGGAAGAGTCAGGCCTCTGGGTTGAGCCTCAGACTAAAGCAGGCTTGTGCCAGGAGTGAGCCCCCAGCCTCGTTCCTCCCGGTGAGTCTGGCTGCAGCTCTATAGGAGGCCCCAGGTGGTAGATGGTGGGTCAGTAGAGGACAGAAACATTACTTTTGTGTTCCTGTCAAGCCCAAGAAGTCCTGCAAACGCCGGGAGCCCATCCTAGCCAGCACCGCGGGAGAGGCCATCGAGAAAATGCTGGAGCAGAAGAAGATATCCAGCAAAATCAATTACAGTGTACTCCGGGACCTTGACAGCAGGGGTGGGACCAGCCCAAAGAGGGAAGACACTCAGCCTGCAGAGAAAGCCAGTGCCAAGAAGGTACCTCGGAGGAAAACGCCAGCCAGCAGGAGCGGGCCTGACCCTGGAACCAACGTAGGGAAAAGGTACTGTACCGTCCCCTCTGGCTGAGTACATCAGATCATGAGGTGGAGGCCAACAGAGAACTCATGCCTCAGATTTGGGCTGTTGTGGGCCAGGGGTGGGATTCAGGAGCACCCAGGAACCAGACCTGTTCCACTGCATGCCAGGCCATCTCCAGCTGTTAGTGGGAATGTGTCCTGACTCCATGGCCTGGGAGGTCCTGGGTTGAGGGTCCTCTAGCAGCACAGGAGGGAGGCTGTCAGTTGTTTATAATATTTTAGTTGTTGGTTTTAGGTTTTGTGTTTTGGGGAGGGGGAGGCATTCCTGGGGCTTGAACTGAGGGCCTAGGTGCTGTCCCTGAGCTTTTTCTCTCAAAGCGAGCACTTTACCACTTGATCTACAACACTACTTTCAGCTTTGTGGTGGTTAATTGGAGATAAGAGTCTCATGGACTTTCCTGCCCAGACTGGCTTTGAACCAAAATCCTCAGATCTCAGACTCCTGAGTAGCTAGGATTACAGGTGTGAACCACTGGCACCTGGCTCCTTCTAATGGCTATTATTTTGTGTGTGTGCGCGTGCGCGTGCATGCACACGCACCCACACTTGTGTTGTTACTGGAGGTTGAATATTATTTCATTTTTATATAAGTCTCTGGTTCACCTGGGACTTAACTTTGGTAGAAGACAAGGCCTGCTTGGTGTTCTAGGTGGTGCTGTGAACAGGACTGTAAGAACCCCCACCTTGACTGTGTCAGGGTCTGTTTGATGGTCCTTGAGCTGTTGGGTATGTACTTGGCTCTCCTGGTTCCCCTGGGGAGCACTGGCTGAGGCCTCTGTTTTCTATGCACAGCTTATGTCTAGGCCGGGCCTTTTCTCACTGGCATTTTGACTGCCTCATTTGAGGTGGGAAGTGTTCTTGGATACATTTAGGTAGAGCACAGTTGTCTTAGAGTCCCGAACACATGGGTGTTTCTCTTGTGATACAATTGCCTCCACAGAGTCTTCTGTGAAGTCTTCCAGCTGTGTCCTGGGTGGGGGCCAGGTTTGTGTTTCTTGAACCTTGTGGACTCCTGGTGTTCAGGAGGCTTCCTGCAGCCCGGTGCTGGTGTCCTGTTACCCAGTACTGGGAAGAGTGTTGAGGCTGCTTGAGATAGGGCTTCCTCCAAGGGGGCATTGTGTTCTTAGCTGACCCTCCAGCCTCTCCTTCCCATTTCTGTTGCAAGTCTTGGGCATGAATTCCTAGCAGAGCCATTTCTTGTACATGTGGGGGTGGGGGGGTGGGTGGCTAGTCAGTGGGTGGCAGAAGCTGTGGACCACTCCTAAGGTAGCAGGTCTGGGCTCACCCTCCCACCCACCTAGCCTCTGTCGGTGTAAGGGGAGTCCTGTCCCAGGGTGCTGATTCTAGTACCCCTGGGGCATGTGCATGGGCCATTGACACTCCTGTCAGCAGGAAGCTCATCAGCCTTCCTGGGTGCCAGAACAGTGTGTGGATGTCTTCTGTCCTGCATGGGGTGAAGGCCTCAGAGCTGGTAGCACCTTCCCCTTGCACCTTTGCCCACCTTTGCCCAGCGTTGGAAGTGTAGGGAAAGAAGAAAACCCATAGGACTCACGGCTGCGAGTCCACTAGAAGCACTGGCCTCAGAGCTGGGTGGTGGGGTTGGCGTACATGGTGGTGTTCAGCATCTCTTCTGGGAGGTGGGACCCTAGTGGTCCGAGCCAGGATTTCCTCCACCCTGATCAGGGCTCCTGGAGCCTCCCAGACCAGGCTCAGGCGGGCTTCAGCCTAACAGGAGGTGCTGGCCCACATGTGCTCTATGCTGGCCAGCAGAGGGAACGTGGACAGGGTGACCACCATGCCCAGTCACAGTGCTCTCATGGGAATCCACCGTGTGGCTCGTTCTCCAGAGGCTGACATCTGGAGCCATTGGTGGGTCTTGGAAATGGGGGGGGGCAGTGGTCTCAACTTGCTGGCCAGAGGCTGTGGGCTAAGGTATTCTGGACAAGGTCTATGTTTGCTAGCTATGAGCCCAGCCCATCTCAGTTCCCGGGTCACATCAGCAACCACCCAGGGCAGGCTGGCTTCCTGTGCTTAGGTTCTGTGTCCATCCACCTGTTAAAAATTCCCTTCCAGGCTGGGAAGGTGGCTCAGTGGTAGAGTGCTTGCCTTGCATGCATGAGGCCCTGGGTTCGATTCCTCAGCACCACATAAGCAAAAAGAAAAAAGCCGGAAGTGGCGCTGTGGCTCAAGTGGTAGAGCGCTAGCCTTGAGCTGAAGAGCTGAGGGACAGCGCCCAGGCCCAGAATTCAGGCCCCACGACCGGACCCAAAAAAAAAAAAAAAAAAATTCCCTTCCAGTCAGATGCCATTGGCTCACGCCTGTCATCCTAGCTACTCATGAGGCTGAGATCTGAGGATCACGGTCAAATCCAGCCCGGGCAGGAAAGTCCGGGAGACTCTTATCTCCAATAAACCACTAGAAAACCGGAAGTGGTGCTGTGGCTCAAGCAGTAGAACGCTCACCTTGAGCTGAAGAGCACAGTGACAGTGCCCAGGCTGAATTCAAGCCCCATGACCGACCAAAAAAAAAAAAATTCCCTTCCAAAACAAAACAAAACTGGGCTGGGAATGTGGCCTAGTGGTAGAGTGCTTGCCTTGCATGCCTGAGGCCCTGGGATCTCTTAGCACCACAAAAGCAGGAAAAGCAGGTGGTGCTGTGGCTCAAGTGGTAGAGTGCTAGCTTTGAGCAAAAGAAGCTCTGGGACAGTGCCCAGGCCCTAGCTTCAAGCCCCAGAACTAGCCAAAAAATAAAAAAATCCAGTGTTTGTTCAGCGCCAGTGGCTTTTACCTGTAATCCTAGCTAATCAGGAGACTAAGGTATGAGGATTACAGTTTAAAGCCAACCTGGCAAGAAAGTCCATGGGATTCTTGTCTCCAATTATTCACTAAGAAGCCAGTAGAGCTGTGGTTCAAGTGGTAGAGTGTTAGCCTTGAGCATTTGAAAGCTCAGTGATAGTGCCTAGGCCCTGAGTTCAAGCTCCAAGACTAGCATCAAAAAAAATTTTTTTTTCCTAGCTGGGCACCAGTTCATGCCTGTAGTCCTAGCTGTTCTAGGCTGAGATCTGAAGATCATGGCTCAAAGCTAGCCCAGGCAAAAAAGTCTGTGAGACTCTTATCTCTAGTTAACAACAAAAAACTAGAAGTGGATCTGTGGCTCAAGTGATAGAGTTCAAGCACCAGGACCAGCACCCCGTCCCCCAAAAAAACAAAAAACAAGTCCCCTTTCCAGTGTCTCAGTGTGTCTGGCTTGTCAGAGTTGGGCAGGGCTGATCCTGAGAGTTCAGCAGCAGGTGGGGGGGGGGGGGGGGTCTCAAGCCATCGACCTCCCTGTAGCTTGCCCTAGAAAAAGGAGGTCCTGTCTTCCTCCTAGACCCCACTATTGTTGACCTAGTGGGCACTGTGCAGCCAGGATGTGGGTGCAAAGCCCACCTGATTTCACACAGGTAACACAGCCCTCCCTTAGAATGCTTGGCTTCATCCTGCCCTTTGCCAGCATTGGCATCAAAGATGACTTTGTATGTGAGGGAGCCATTTGGGAGAAGGCAGGCCCAGGAGTTATGGGTGGTATAGAGGGCATCAGGCCAAAGGGGTGATAAGGGTCTTGAAGTACTTGGACTTTCCTCTTCTTTCCTCTTCCTTGTCTCTGCCCATTGTCCTGGCATCTTCCCCTGACCCGACTCCATGGGCTACACTTAAGAACTGAGCAGTAGGGCTGGGAAGGTGGCTCAGTGGTAGAGTGCTTGCCTTGCGTGCCTGAGGCCCTGGGTTCGATTCCTCAGTACCACATAAGCAAAAAGAAAAAAGCCAGAAGTGGCACTGTGGCTCAAGTGGTAGAGCGCTAGCCTTGAGCTGAAGAGCTGAGGAGCAGCACCCAGGCCCAGAGTTCAGGCCCCACGACCGGACCCCCCCCAAAAAAAAACAGCAGTAGCCAGGAGCCGGTGGCTCACACCTGTAATCCTAACTACTCACGAGGCTGAGATCTGAGGATTGCAGTTCAAAGCCAGCCCGGGCAGGAAAGTTCAGGAGATTCTTACCTCCAATAAACCACCAGAAAACCAGAAGTGGTGCTCTCGCTCAAGTGGTAGAGCACTCGCCTTGAGCTGAAGAGTTGAGGGACAGCGCCCAGGCCCAGATTTCAAGCCCCATGGTAGTTTCCCATGAGACCATGGCCTTTGCACAGTGGTCCAGATGTGTGGGGGAGCAGACCATCAGGAGCCTTGACCGCGTGGGTCCTCCACATGGTCAGGAGGGGAGAGCCTTTCCTTCTGGCTTGTGCACCGTACCACCTGTTCACCGTGGAACGATGCAGACACCACAAAGCAGACGCAGGATGGACACGACCAGGCTTGTAGGGAGGCAGTGGCAAGGGCAGTGCACACAGAGATGTTGAGGAACAAGTGGGGCCCAGGTCACCGGGAGGTCATAGGTGAGCAGAGCGGGAGGGGAGGGCCCATGATGGATGCACTGGGATGGATGGGATGTGGCCAGGTAGGAGAGCCATGTGAGGCTGAGCACACTGCTAGAGGTACATTCCAGACTCCAGCACCTTCAGCCCCTGGACAGACGGGACTCCTGGAGTGAGTCCACTTCGGGCACCCAATGAATGTCAAGCCCCCCTTCTCTGTGTGCCTCAGTGGAGTGTCTAGCAGATGTCTCTGGGAATTTCTGCCCATTGAGCAGTAGGGTTGATCCTAAGTGGACAGAGGACCAGCTGAGACCATGCATCTTCCTGGGTACTGCCTCTGGCCTCCTTGCTAGCAAGCAGCAGTTGGGCCTGCTAAGGCTCATGCTTTGCTTTCTTTCAGGTTGAAGCCTCTGGTGTCTGCTCAGCCCACTAAGAAGGCAGCCATAGGAGAGGTGTGTTGTCCTGCCCATCTGCATTATGGGGCCTTAGGAATAGTGGGTCACAGTCAGGCCTTGCAAAGAGGAGGTACCCATGGGCAGCACTTCCTGTGCTGGCCTAGCAACAGCAGGGACTCCTACAGCCCAGGATGCATTAGTTCCTGGGTGGCAGAAGCAGAGCAAGGGGATGATGAGGCCAAGGGTGAGCTGGTCAGGTGGGGTGAGAACCCAGCTACTGGCTGGCCATAGGGTCCTTACCGGCTAGAGGACAGGCAGACTGAGCGGCTCATGTGTGGGGCGGGCCCAGCCTGACAGTGCCCTGGGAGGAGTCAGGAGGAGAGGAGGACACTGGCCAGCTCATGTGTGGGGCGGGCCCAGCCTGACAGTGCCCTGGGAGGAGTCAGGAGGAGAGGAGGACACTGGCCAGCTCATGTGTGGGGCGGGCCCAGCCTGACAGTGCCCTGGGAGGGGTCAGGAGGACAGGGTAGGCTCCACTCACATCTCAGCAATCATCCTTTATCTCCAGGCCTTGCTCCCAAACTCCCCTGCGCTCGGAGCGGAGCCTGTCAGGCCCTCGGCTGTCCTGGTGGAGAGCGGCCCTGTGTCGTACCACCCTGATGAGGAGGCAGACGAGGAAGAGGCAGACGAGGAGGATGGGGAGCCCTGTGTCAGTGCCCTGCAGATGATGGGCAGCAATGGTGGGTGTGGCTCCACCTGGCTGGTGGGCCTGACGTAGGACTGGGGGCAGATGGGGCCCTTCTAGAGAAGTAAAGCACATACTACCCTTGATCATGCTTGAACTCAAGCCTATTGGCTTCAAACTAAAGTCTTCTCTAAAGGAAAGAAATTTGAACTAAAGCACCATAAAGTGGCCGTGTTGATTCTGAGTCCTAGGGTCCGGGAGGCCCACTCCGTGGGGGTGGTGAGGTTCCCACTGAGGGCTGTGGGTTCTGGGCTTGCTCAGAGTCAGTAGGACAGCTGTTCAGCAGGTGAGGATCCCATAGACAGATGCAGACCTGTGCTCACGACGGTGAGGTGAGGTGGCCACATTGTTCCCTGTGTTCCAGTACAGAGCCGAGGCCCCATGCTGGGTACACACCAAATGCACGAACCCTATGGGGCCCCTGTTGGTGAAGGGCCTGTGTGACCAGGCAGCAGGGCCTCAAGAAAGGCTAGCAGAGCCTCTAGACTTCCATGATGATCCTGTGCTTTGCAGATTATGGCTGTGATGCTGACGACGACGATGGCTACTGAACACAACCTGTACACCAGGCGGAGTCCTGGCGCTGGACCTGGAAACACAACCTACACACCAGGCGGAGTCCTGGCGCTGGACCTGGAAACACAACCTATACACCAGGCGGAGTCCTGGCGCTGGACCTGGAAACACAACCTATACACCAGGCGGAGTCCTGGCGCTGGACCTGGAAACACAACCTATACACCAGGCGGAGTCCTGGCGCTGGACCTGGAAACACAACCTATACACCAGGCGGAGTCCTGGCGCTGGACCTGGAAACACAACCTATACACCAGGCGGAGTCCTGGCGCTGGACCTGGAAACACAACCTATACACCAGGCGGAGTCCTGGCGCTGGACTTTGAATATGTCTGTTGGGGTCAGGGCCTGGGGCCATAGTTCACAGGTGTGAACACCAAGTCTCAGGTCCAGCTGAGCTCTGTCCCACTGGCTTTGAAATTATCTACAGCCACATGTGGCCTCTGGGGTACCTGCTGTGGGGGTCAGTTTTGAACAATGTAAGAAATATTTTTATCCAGAGCAAGGGAAACTGCATGTGTCTGATCAGATATGCCAGCAGTGCCCAGGCCTAGGTCCTACAGCCGGGCTCAGCCATGGCCCACCTGAGAATCCTCCAAGGTAGGCACTGTTAGAGAAAATGTGGAGGCCTGCACACTAGAGCCCTGCCCAAGCACTGTGCCCCATCTCCTCCAGCTCTTCTGATAGCGCTTGGAGTCTGGGCAGACAGCAGAAAGAGATTTCACAGGTGGCTACATCAGCCTAGAGCTTCAGCTCCCCGCCTCCTCAGCCCCTCTGTGCCGGCACCTGGGGCCACGCAGGCCTCCACCTCCCACCGATCAGTCAGGTTCATCTGGTTGCACTTGGTAGACTGAGGCTGTATACCCCCTGCTCCAGAGTGGGTACTGCTGGTGCCAGCCTCAGGCAGGGGGGTCCCGAGTGCCAGCCTGACCCCTCCCATCACAGGGAATGAGACTTGAGAGCCTTTGCAGCTCCTGTCTAAGCGAGGGCTGCATTTAGCATCTGTGCATAGAGAGCAGCCAGGAAGTCCTCCATCTGCCCAGGGGTCTTGGCCCCTCACAGGAAGAACCCACTGGCAGGGCTTTCAGCCCAGTTGTCCTGTCCTGAGGCAGCCCTGGGCAGGAAGGCAGATACCTGTGCACCAGACAGGCCCTGAGGGCCCGGCCTGAGTTCACCCTGCCTTCGAGGTGGCTGCCACACAGCTGCGCCATACCACCTTCTCCAGGCCCAGTTTCTACCTAGGTGAGGAGAGCTGGGTCTCTCATACACATTAGCATCAAAGTCTAAATGCCAGTTTCTGTCCACTGCAGCTACTTGGGGGGCCTTTGAGTCTGCAGCCACTTCCTCCAAGCCTGGGTGGGAGGCTGAGGCACTGGTTAGAAAGGCACACACCATCACCCAAACAAGAACTGGCGAGGCAGCTGGTGTGTCTGGCTCCATGACCCTCCGGCTGGGCACAGGATGCCCTGGCAGGCCGGGCTCTGAGCTCAGCATTCTTGGCCTGTAGACACCACGGACAACCTGCTGGGTCCTTCCCGACGCGCCCCCTGCCTGCTTCACAGCCACCCTGCCCACGGAAGCTCCCAGGCTCCCTGGGGTGAGGCAGGGATCTCCATTCAGGTGTTGGGTCAGGAGCTGGGGCTTACGTGGGACAGAGTAGACTGCTCCTGACATGCCCTTCAGGGCGTGGCAGGTTGCAGGAACCAGGCCAGAGATTATTGGGCTGGGCTTGGGGACTTAGCTAAACTGGGGTGAGCTTGACGCAAAGCTGACAAAACGCCGCCTCAAGTATAGGGCATGTGGAAGCCAGAATCAAGGACCCCAGCCGCCAGACCTAAGGGACCGTGTGAGGGACCCCCCAGGCAGAGGCGAGGCCACAGCTGTGGGAAGGGGTGCAGCACGGCTGGATGCTTTTGGGGAGACTGGAGGACTCCCCAGCAGAGCAGGGGTGGGAGCCGGGCAGGAGGGGTCTTCAGGTGTTGAACATTGAAAGGCCTGATTAGGGGAGTTGGCCAAGGAGCCGGAGGCGAAAACCTGTGGGGGTGGGGCACAGCGCCCCTGGGACAGCGCAGCGTGGTAGGCAGTTCCCAGACTCACTCCGTAAATGGCAGCAGAGCCTGAATGTGGTCTGGAGTCAGGCCCTGTGGGGCTAGGCTGAGATGGGGTGGAGGCACCGGCGTGAGGCCTGGCCCAGAGGACACGGTGCTAGACTCACCATAGCCCGCATCTCCCGCAGGGGCAGCCAGTCTGGGCCATCAGCAGTGGGGTCCACAGGGGCATCCGAGCCTGCACTGCCATCTGCAGGCCATGTGGGGCCGTGTCTGCATGCTGCTTCCTGACGCCTGCAGGGAAACCTGGCTCCCAGCTGCACTGCGCCTTGTCCTGAACCTGCTCAGTGCCTGCTCCAGTGCCCTGCCAGGCCTCTTGGCCTTGCCCCTTTAGGATTGGTCCCCAGATGAGACCCCCCCCCCAGGCCTTAGGGAGCGAGGGGAGCCAGAGCCCTGGGCCTTAGGGAGCGAGGGGAGCCAGGGCTTCAGCTGTGTCTGTTTCCTGCTCTTCCTCCAGTCGGCCCCTAGGATGTTGGGTTCCATGTTGGCCCCTGGTAGGTGTGCACATGTGAGTGCCACCTCTGCCTTCTGCTTCCCGCCCTCCCCCCAAAGGTGGGGTGCAGGCTGCCTGGAGGTCCCATCCTGGATTCTGGCTAGCTGAGGAAGCTGTACTATGCCATCTCTTGGAAATGGGGTAATAGCCATCAGGGTACCTAGTAACCCTATGCATGGGGCCCAGGCATGTGCCCACTTTATTTTTGTGCCAGTTCTGGGTCTTAGACTCAGACTTGGCTCAAGACTGGTGCTCTACCACTTGACCCACCTCCACTTCTGGCTTTTTGCTAGGTAATTGGAGGTAAGTCTCCACCTGGAGCTAGCTTCAGACTTGAGGCCCAAGGTCTGTCTGCTGTAGCTGGGGAGTGGGTGGCGTTGCCATGTGGTACCAAGTAGCCTGTGGCTGCCCCTCTGGGCTGTCAGGCCTGGCCAAGCCTGGTCCTTTCCTGGGCCAGCTGCTTTGTGCCCAGCTGTGCTCCCACTTGGAGGCCCCTTGGGAGGTGCAAGGGTCACTCAGACCTAGCTGGGAGGTTGGACTAGAGAGCTAAGGGGCTCCGTCTGTCTCTGCACCCTGCCTTTGCCTGGAGCCCCCTCCCCACCATCATGGGCCTGGGCACAATGGCCAGCTGGGTGGAGGAAGCAAGGGTGGACAGACCTTTGCTCCTTGCAAAGAGCCTATGTTAGCTTGGTGCCATGACATGGCTACCACTGTAGACTGGCAGCTGGGGGAGAGGCACCTGTGCCCTGGAGACACCCTATTGGCTCAGAGCCTTTCCCTGAGGCTCACCTCTGGGAGGTGCAGGGGTTGAAGAAAATGGGGGGGGGGTGGCTAGCACCCTCTTCTAGGCTTCCTTGTGCTTTACAGACACCCTGGAGCCCACCTGCACTGACCAGCAGCTGTGGTCAGGATCAGGGGTCCTGTGGTGGGAAGCCAGGGAAAAGCAAGCCATGTGGAGGGCCTTGGCATCAGCCAGAGGGCAGACAACCTCTGAGACACACTAGGCCCTCTCCTGCAGACCTCCTGCAGACCTAGAGTCTGTCCCCTCTTCTGTAAGCTCCGGGTAGGATTTCACCCAAACTGGACATTGATTCCATACAGGCTGCACCCTCTCTGCCCCGTCTCTTTGGAGCAAGCCCTCTTAAGGCTTTGGAGACTGGCCTGTGGTGGGTCAGGTTTGTGCCTATGAATCACGAGCCCTCTAGAGGGTCTCATAGGCATGAGAGCATTGTGGCCACAGACGTCTGCCAGCTGTGTACACCCGCAGTGGTCTGACGGCAGCTGGTACACCTGGGATGTGGACGGTAGCAGTCTGTTACCCCCAGCCAGGAAGAGCACAACAGAGACAACATGGTCGTCCCCACGCTTCAGGCGAGGTCCCCTGGTGTGTAGGATGTGTCCCAGGTGTGGCAGACCCAGCACCAGCCAGGATGGATGGGGGGGTCTGCCTTTGCTGCCTTCTGCTGCCCCTTTGTCCTAGAGGGGTGCGGACTCCCCAACCTGCCCTGGAGGCCTGTGTGGGTGCAGCCCCCGAGGTGTCTGTGGCTGGCACAGAGCGTCTCCATGCCTGAGGGGTGGTGCCCAGGACTCACGGTCCTAGCCAGGGACAGGGAAGGCGCAGGACACGGCCTGGGGCATTTTGGAGGCAGTAACATGCTCCCCAGATCTGGCACCAGACCCTGACGCCTGTCCATCCGTGTTGCAGGCATGAGCTTACACTTGTGCCGTGGATAGTGACAAAGAATGGGTTGCCTCTGGAGTTCTGGCCCACGTGGGGTTCAGTGCTATGTGCCAGGTCCTCTGTGGGGCCAAAGCCCTCAGCCAAAAGGCCCATCTACTCTCTCCTAGACCAGCACTACGCTGGACCGGTGAGGTCGAGGTCAGGGTACAGTGGGAGATCCCTGCCCTCCATCCTGCCACCCAGATTCACGGGCAACTTCCTACCCTCTACCAAGTCCCACTGACTTTTGCCAGCATGCCGCAGGAGATACCTGGAAGGCGGTGGGCCCACCGGGGGACAGTGCACACAGGTGAGCCTGCAGGCGCCATCCCCAGCTGCTCTACGTGCACTTCCATCCACTGGTGGCCAGCTCTCCACACGTGCCTGCCAGGCGCACCTCAACCTGGGTGCACAGCTTCCCAGGCCTTTCTGCTGCTCCCTTTGTCCTCTGGTGACTGCCACCGTGTCCCAGCCCCCAAGGCTGGACAGGAAAGCCAAGTGGCAGACTGGCCACCAGGCCCCCACCCTCAGGCTTCTGTGGCCTGCTGGAAGTTCTGGAGTCGAAGCCAGAGCTCCCACAGTCGGGGTTAGAGGACACGCCACACCACGGGTGTGAATGGCTGGCCCCGTGCTCTGCCCTCTGGTGGCCATCCATGGTGTGGCCTAGGCCCAGCTAAGGACAGAGCCGAGGCTGAGACCTGGCTTGACACCAACCCCCACCCACCCGTCACAGGGCAACCAGGCACCTGTGTGTCCTCACCACGAGGGGCCCGGCACGCCATCGTCCAGCGGTCTGGACCTCTCCCCAGAGACTGCGAGAGGTCTAGTCTTCACCCCGCGGGGACAGCTGACACCCATGACCCTGAAGCCCGGTCCTGACCTCCCTGAAGGATGGCTCCGTCACTGCGCTGGGCCAGCAGGGGTGCTCAGGATCTGTGGGGTTGTTGGAGGGCTGAGGGCCGGATGTGGTTCCTGCAGTGCCCCTGCTGCTACCTGCTCACCCCCAGCTCTGGTCTCTGCCCTGTTGTCAGCCCTCTCCTGGGCCCCGTACCCACCGCCCCCCAGGGCCTAGCCACCCTGTAAATGCTCCCTGGCCCGTGGTGGGACTCGGCTCTCAGGTGGGGGCCCTGGCCTGTGGTGAGCTCTAGGGTAGGGCTGTGGGACTCTACAGCCATAAAGG